GGCGAGTTCTATGGGCCCGTGGTGCCTGGGCACCAGGAATATTCCTGGCCTGGGGCCCGGCTCCAGCACTGTCTGAGGCCGGGTCTCTCCCTCGGCCCCACCTCCAGCCCCTGGTGCCCCTGTCCCGCGCATCCCCTGCGCCCTTTAAAAACAGCCCAGGATCCCCAATCACCACTGGCAGCGCAGAGGAGCTGAGCAGCTTCCTGCCTGCTCCCTCCACATGGCTGCCAGCCCCTCCCTGCAGCCCCTGGGCTGGGTGGGTCTGTGTCCTGCCCCAAGCGCCCCTGCAGCCAATGGGAAGTTGCAGGGGCAGTGCCTGTGGGTAGCAGCACATGGAGACTCCTGATCTGCCCTGCCTAGGAGGCCGAGGTGAGTGCCACACCCCCCACCCCCTCCCAGAGCCTGCACCCCCGCTTCAGCCCCCAACTCCCTCCCAGAGCCTGCACCCCCTCCCTCTGCCCCCCATCCCCAAACTGCCTCCCAGAGCCTGCATCTCCACCCCCAGCCCAGAGCCTGCACGCCCCATCCCCTCCTAGACCCCCAGTCCCTGTCCCAGCCTGGAGCCTGCTCACAGCACCCAAACTCTGTCCCAGAGCCTGTATCCCCACCCCCTTTCCACACACCCCCTCCTTCCCCCCAACTCCCTCCCAGAGCCTACACCCTGCTATGAGCTGGCCGAGGTCCCAGCTCCGCCTATTACAGTTCACTCCACAAGAGTTCAAGCTTCTTCAGTGTCATTTCTGGCCCAAGTTCCGGTACGGGAGATACGCAGAGCAGCTACTTGGTCATCGGTGACCTCTCACTATGCTAACACCCATCACGCCAGAGACGATGCAGCCTTCGGCGGAGCCATGCTCCAACCAGTGGTTCCTTGACACCTCCCCCTCCTCCAGAGTAGAGCTTGGGAGTCACCTGATTGGAATTGATGTGAACAAGCACTCGAAGAAAAACAGTTATTCACCTTCTCGTAACTGTTGTTCTTTGAGATGTGGTGTTCACGTCCATTCCAATACCCACCCCACCCTCCTTCCCCTCTGTCGGAGGAGCTGGCAAGAAGGAAGTGAAGGGAGGTCCAGCCGCCAGGGTCATATATTGAGTGTCATAAAGGCGCCATTCCAGGGGCCAACCCGACAGGTGCTGCTAAGGGAAATCTTTCCAACGATTATGCACGTGGTGTGCGCACACCGGATTGGAATGGATGTGAACAACGCATCTCGAAGAACAACAGTTACGAGAAGGTGAATAACAGTTTTTTATTCATTTTTCCCTCCAGGTGCTATTTCTTCTAATCGACCTTCACTTAATGGAAAGTCTTTTCCACAAATGTTCCTCTCTTCACTGGTCTCTCAACAGAGCTTTGATGAGACGGCTAATAATGTCACAAACAGAGCACTTTTTCAGGTATGAAGTCATTGAACGTACGGATCTCAAATATAAAACAAAAAGTAACAGTTTGTTGGATGTGTGTAACTGTGTTTCATGTTTGAAATGTACTGTTACGCAGGAGTAACCAGATGACTACACTGCATTCCAGAATAGAGGTGGGTCATTTCTTTCTTTGGACAGTTTCTTGTAGTTGCAAACTATGGTTCAGGGTTTGAGACATCAGCTGGTGGAGCCAATAAAGGTCTGTCTTTCTTTTTGGTCTCAGAACTAACAAACAACCATTCTTTCACAAACCAAGAAGGGACAAAAATGGGGTGAAACAAAATGCATTCTCAAGACTGCTGAAGAGCCCTAAATGACTTGAAAGGGAACTTGAATGGTGGGGGGAATAATTGCTGAGTAGAACTGGGCTAGCAATTAGTGAACAGATTTTAAATTTTTATTAAAGCTAATGTTAAAATTATATAATATACAGGTTGAGAAAAGAGTGTCTGTACATCTGGGTATAGTGCTTAGATTATCTACAAATAAAAAGTTCGTTAAAAAACTTATAAGATGCCTACAGCACATAATCTGCAATGACCCAAATTTAGATGAATAAATTTAACAATACAGTTTAGATATTAGAATCAGAATATTCGGGTACATCATTCATGAAAAGTTATACAGAGAGTTGGTTGTAGAAAGCAAATATTGGAATAAGTGTAGATTGTCCCTCAGTAATTGAGCACTTAGGATGGGTTGTCCCTTAGTAGATATAATCCATCAGAGAAGTATTTCAGTTACTTTCCGATATCTACTCAGTGAACGCAACTTTTTTCCTCTGTGAACAGACTGATTTTTAGGATATACTCACCATTTGAGATTATTTTGTGCATATCAATTTCTACCAATGAGTGGCTCAGTCTTTTCTAAACTTTGCACTCTCCACAGGATTCCTTTCAGTATCGAATATTTGCAATTCAAAAGTCAAGCTTTGTGACTTCTCACCAGTATATAATAGAGAATACCAACACCTGTCCCACATGGTATTGTTTCTGTTCCCTGATTGGATGACCTGCTCTTCCAACACAACTTCCTCCTGAACCATATTTCATTTTGCAATTAAATGAATCTCTGCCACAGGGCCAAAATTCTCTTTCTGCCCTAACAATACTTAGCTTACAGGAAAGTTGATAAAAAGCATACAGTAAGTAATGTATACCTTATGAACAAAAAAAATGTGGAGTGAATAAGCACATAAACTTGCCCATTATTGTTTGCTTCTGTTACAGAACACCATAAGGGAAGAACTGAACAATACAATAGAGAACATCCTGACACGGGTCGTGGCTGAAGTAACAAGTATCTTATACCCAGCAGTAACCGAGTATGAAGAGAGAATTAGTGATACAGTATATACAATATCTGAAGAGTCCGCACTCTCTTCAGATAACTCTAGTAGCTGTAGCACATGTAATGAAGAGCTCTTTGATGTGTTTGCAAGTCTTCCATCCTCCAGTACCAGAAAGGTCATCTTTACAGATACAAGCATAAAAGCCACCAGCTCACCAAGTGATCTCAAGATAGCGACAGGAGGGAAACCAACTCCACTGCAGTCTCAAAAATCATCTTTCACAATTCTGTCAAAGAGCACACAGAGGTCTCTGGAAAGTGAATTTTGGAAAGAAAGTGTTCACAAGGGGAAAACAGCAACACCACCTCACTATCATACTGAAAGTATTTCAAGATTGCGCCGGGAAGTTGTGAGCATGGGAGCTACCTCTGAGTTTCCCACAAAGCCTTTCAACACAGAGAAGTTTCCTTTTAGCCAAACTTATTTTAAACGTGAATCCGCAACAAAAGATACCAAGCCAAAAAAAGGTCTGACTGGTGAGGATATTTTTTCAGACTTAAATCAAGATCTTCCTAAAGGAGGTATTTTTAAAAAAAGGTTTGACAAGCAAACTGTAACAGACGCCAATGACAACGACAACATGAAAATGCTACAGGTGGCCGAGAATGTGGTCAAGGAAGTTTTTAGGAGAGTAAAAGATCTAAGTGATTCTGTCAGCATTTTAAAGAAAGCTCCCATTGAGCTTAGTGAAAGATTGTTCTGTAGTAGTTTTAAAAGAACTGAATTTCCTGAGACTTTTCATAAAGATTTCCAGAAAGAAATTGGATTAGTTGCTAAAGAAATTGTAGGAACTGTTTTTGATAACTTTCACAAGTGCTTGGTGTCTTGCATCACTATGGCATCAGACCAAGAACCGGTAATAAGAAGGAAAGACCAGGTCCCTGCCCGAAGAACGAGCAGAGTGTCCAAATCAGAAAAAAATAAGATCATGCAAGCTGAATTACCTGCTTATGACACAACATTTTCTTCATTTACTATTGATAAAGTAGCCAAAGAGGCGGTCGAAAGTGTTGTATTCACACTAGAGTCATTTGTAGCCTTTCAGTTTAAACATGACTTTAAATGTAAATTTTCTGAAATAGTGAAACTCCCTGTTGAAAATATTTCTAGTGCACAACAGACACCATTCTTAAGGCCTCTCTCAACCCAGATAGTAAATGAAATAGAAGTATCATCTAAAGCATTTGAACGTGAAATGCCAGGAACTACAAGTAAAAGAACGCTGCCAACCGTAGAACAATTCCAGAGCTCATCGGATGTATCAAGGGTAAGTAGTATGATTACAAAGGAAAGCATAGCGAGTGCTATTGTCCAAGTGCAAGGTTTCCATTCAGAATTGAACATTTACGCTACAATTGCTGTTAATGATGTTCTTGAAATCTTCAAGCGGAAGCTAGAAAAAGAAATTAGCCAAAGGCAAACAATCCCATTTTATGATGACTCCGAAGAAAACATTATGGCAGGGGAGATAACTGGTGCTGTATTAGATCGATGTGCTCAACGTCAAACTGAAATTACTTCAGAATTGAAGTTTGGGAATCTTGAAATGGAAAAGTCTGGACGAGTATTTGGAAATAATAAATTTCATGGACAAGGTGTTGCAGTGTCAGAAGGAATAAAACTGCCTGCTAGAAAATTAAAAGAAATTGACCCGAGGGAAAACTTTCCACCTATCAATGTTCCTGGAATGGTGATTTATTCTGAGGAAGAAACAGAAATGGAAGAGGAAATTCCATCTCGTCTCTGTCCAACAATCCATAAATTCTCAGCGCGGGATGCTCACACCACATCAGAGGTGATCAAAAAGTCTGCATACTACTTGTCAGCTCCCACAGCAAGACCTTCTAGACCATCGCTGGGAACAATAACTAAACAAAGAGCAATTAGCTCCAGGATGACTCTACCCCCTATTGGTAAGCAGTTTCCAAGAAAATCCTTCTCTCCACTGGGCATAATGAAATCTCCCAGAGATGAAGCAAGGCAGAGCCAGGTGTCTGAAGAGCACTGCCAGTTAATGTCAACACATGAAACCAAGTATCAGCTATCACAATTACAGGATGGTGCATTACCTGCAATAGTAGTAGAAGAAATAATAAGTAAATTGGTGTCTACAATCTTAAACTCCGTTTGCAGCACAAGCCTGGAACACAAAAGATGTTTATCAAAAACCGAAGTGAATGAGATCACAGACACACTTAAACAGTCAATAAAAAAAAGAATGTCCACAAATAAAATCAGTCTTGTAGGAGCTGCAGATGAAGACCAGCATTTAAATCCAGAGTATGAAGATACTGTTAATCAAGTGGTTTGCAGCATTTACAACAGTGTCATGCAAGAAACTGGATCTCAGCCAGTCCTTTATCACGATGGAACAAATTGCAAAACAATTTTTCCTGAACGAACAGCTAGTATAATAATAAATGAAGTCTCCAGTGGCCAGATAATACATTCTTTTAATGAAAACTCACCAACTGAGAACTACAGTGCTACAGAGTTTGACAGTACTGCTGACAAAGATCTTTCATCATTTGCCATTCAAATAAATATTGAGGCAGGAAGTTCTGAAGAGTCAGTTAGAAATGTAAATGGGTATTCAGCAGAAACATTGCTACAAGCAAAAGAGCTACCAGTTGAAATAATCCCTCATATTAGAGACAGACCATTAGACATAGATCCAGACCTTATTTCAGACCATTTAGCAGTTATTTCCATAAAAACAGAGCCTACTGAGAAACGGAATGAAAGATTTAGAACTCATTCTGGACTAGAGCTACCAGAACTAAAAAAAGCATCGCTATCTAAGACAAGTTTGCTAAGTACAGCTACTGAAAGTGATGTAGAGAAAAGGAGAGAAAGACGGTCCTCTGTGAATGCTTTAGGACGACTAGATGTCAAACCAAAGGAGGTAAGTAAAAAGAATGAGTAATTTTCATATGCAAATCGGTAAAAAAATTTTTATCATACTGTCACTATGATCCTGATCCAGGAAAGCATATAAGCACATGCTTAAACTTTAAGCAAAAGTCCCACTGAAGTCAATTAGATTACTCACATGCTTAAGCAGTTTACGGGATCGCACAGAGGCACCGAGGGCCTCAATTCAGCAAAACACTTAAGTATATGCATAACACTAAGCATGTGCTCCTTTCCCGTTAAAGTCAATGGGATTTCAGAATATGCTTAAAATTAAGCATATGTTTAAGTGCTTTGCTGAATCAAGGCCAAGTAGTCTGTTTTGGATATCGTACTTGGACTTGATAGTTTATGTTGCCTTCATATTTTATTCTCATCTCTTTTCATTCAGAAAGTTTAAATACAACAGAGTAGGCAAAGTACACTAAGAATATAATGTTGATTTTTAATCACAAGTGTGTTCAAAAGTGTCTTCGGCATCTGGGTAGCAAGTCTAGTCCTGATAGTAAAAGAGAGGTAGTGTGTCTAGTGGTTCGTGAAGGGAATTTAGAGTCAAGACTCCTAGATTAATTTTCCCAAAACACTCTTGACTCTTGTGTGACCCTGAACAAATCACTCAGGGCCAGATTCTGATAGTCTTACTCAGGCTGAGTGGTACCATACTTCTCCAGTTGTCTTATTAACAAATTGAACTACCCCTGGAGTAAGATGCTACCCCACCTGAGTAATGGTGGCAGTATCTGGCCTCCAACCTCTGGTAAATTAGTAGATACTGTAAGTGAAATCTTGTCCCCTTTGAAGTCAATGGCGAAACTCCCACTGATGTCAGTGAGGGCAAGATTTCATCCTCCCGGGGTCTGCTATGTTTCCTCTCTTTTACGATAGCCTTTCCTGTGGTTATCACCTCATCCAACAGAGTGGACGGCCTTTTATTTAAAAAAAGATTCAAATACAAAGTCCTGGTTTTTCCTGCCCACTGAAATGGAGTAAAAACAATGTATCCATATGCAAGGCTAAAACAGTCTTGTTGTACTGTCTTGTTTTCTAATTAGCGAACAGTAGACAAATTGTACGAAAAATGACTCTGAAATACAGTTCTCTTCAAAAATTCTCTCTTCAACACCAGGTCGTTTGCAGAAATTCATTTCAGAACCTGAAGAAACCCGATGTCACCAGGGTGGAACTTCTAAAAGATGTCAAGAGCAAGGAGGAACTTATTTTACGACTTGTCTCATATGATATTGAGCATGATGAGGAAGAGGATTTTGAAAAAATCCTAAAAGTAGATTCTGCTTTGGTTTTTGAGAGCCAGCCACATGCAGCAGGGAAAGAGGAAATCATGCCTGCTTATGAGAGTACCCCTTTGGCTGATATGCAGAATAATTTAATTGCTGCCCAGGCACCTGAGAAAGAGGATCAGTACAAGGTAAGTGGTGTACGTGAAACCTTTACTATTTCACCTGATTACACTGGGCCAAGTCCTGGTCTCATAAAGTCAATTATAAAACTCCCATTGCGTGCAGGATCAGACCCCCCAAGGATGCAAAGTGCAGCTCACCCACACCGTCTGGCCATTTTCCATAGGGCTGAGCAAAAATAAGAGGCAGGTGTTGCAGAGATCAGAGCTATGTCCAGTCTTGTTTAAAATTCTCCTTCATGATCAGAAGAGGGAGAAAACAGAGAATTGAATTTAAAGTTGATACAGATCAACAAATATAGCTGAACATCATATTACACAATGGAAACATACAGGACATGTTTAAATGGTATGGACTTTTGCCTGACTTCTTGTTCCACATGGAATCTCACTCCCCTCTCTTATACCATTTATTCCTAACTTCATTATTTGTCCCTTGGATTATTTTTTAATCCAGGTGTTGCCTAAATTATTTTCTAGCTTTTCATTAGAACTCCCCATGGGTCCACCTCCCCTTTATTGACTTGAGTTTCCTCTGTGAGGCAGTACTATTCAGGTGATCTTATCATGAAGGGAACAAAAAGAGGCCCTAGAGAAGCAAGGAATAGAAGCAGGTGAGATGAATGAGCCAGAAATTGGAATGTTGTGAGAAATAAATGTAATTGTTTTTCAGATTATGGAACAAACAATATCAACTAACTTGGCTGGCCCTAAATCGAAACTGAGTGTGGCCAGCTTATCCTCAGACATAGATGTGCTGTCTGCTCTAAGCAAGGGCATCCCATGTTTAAGGTAACTACTTTGGTGCTAAAAACAAAGGCGGGATCTATGTTTGAGGGTGGGGGTTTCCAGAGGTCCCTGGGCAGGGCTGTCTCTAGATTTTATGGGGCTCTTTCTGAAGTAACACAGGGCTCCATCCAACTCTCTCTTCATCTGACCAGCTCTGAAGCCCTGATCAGTAGCCCTGGCTACTCTGCCGCACAATAGGACCAAACTCCATGGCAATGACTCCTAAGTTCCTTGGCAAAGTTAATTTATTCTAAAGAAATATCCTTCATTTCTGTCTTCCCATCTCCACACAAACATACACAGCCAGAGCTCACCCTTGAAAATACTCACTGACAAAGCTTGTGGGTGATTATTTTTGAGAATTGTTTCTTTGCTATGTTCTCCACGCATCCTAACCCCACTTCCCAGGGCAAAATGGCTCATGGTGGCCATAGCTGGAATGCATGGTGTGGGTGCACCTTGCACCCACCTCCAGCAGAGGCTTCAGACTGCAGCATGGGCTGCTCCTGTGAGGTGCTGAACTTCCTCAACTGCAGCTGACTTTACGGGGAAGGGAGGGGGTCAGCGCTTCTCAGGAGGTACACAGAATGCAGGGGCCTAGACTACACCAGTTGTCGGACAATGCCCCTTTGCAGTCATGATGAATTATCAGTGGCACTAGCTGGTTTCAGTATATAACTCTGTTTAACATTACAGGCCAGGTTTTGGGGTCTGGCTGAACCACACACAGCATTGGTAGAGGAGCATAAAATTTACCTTCGCACTCTGCCAGTCTAGGGGCTGTTGACTGCAGGACCAGTCTCTAGTACTGCTCTATCTTATACCAGATTCCAGCACGCATAAGCAGCCAAAACCTCAGCTAGAGATCAGTGCATAGGGGCAATCTGGGCATATTGCCTTTCCTCTGGCCATGCCTCCTTTGCTATCAGCAAGGAGAATGGGGGCTGGAATAGGAGGCTGGGGTATTCCCTCTCATGCTGGGGTATTCCTCTTGGAGCTCAATACATCACCTGTACATTCAGAATTCTCTAGTGGTGTGGCACAAAGTGGCTGCACCATGCTGGGCAACGCAGCCTGGTGTTTGAAATCCTGTCCTGCTGCTAGGTTGACGAAAGAAACGCTCAGTGCTCTTTCCCCCCCTACAGCGTTTCCGAGCAGAAGAGAGCCCTAGATGTGTCCCAAAGCAGGAATGAAAAGGAAGCTCTGGGAGTGACCCTCTGACACCTTCAGTTGCTTGTGACACTAATTTTATGAAGCAAATTTCTGCAAGCATATCCAGGCAGTGCCCTCCCTGTAGACAAAGGGTTGATCCTGCCCCCATTGACTTCAGTGGGAGATTTGCCATTGGCTTGAGAGGGAGCAGATTGGGCTCTAAATACAGGGCAGAACTGAAATTTAAAAAGAAAACCTTCTGTGTTTTTAAGAGAGTGTGTGTTTTCTTCTTGTTCACCTGCCTCATTCTGAGTTTGATGCAAATTTTACATGCTTCTTCCTTATCAGGCAATAACTAGTTGACATGCCCAACCTTGCAGTCAGGTGTCCCTGAAGTCAGCAATAAGAGGTGCCATTTTTTAAAGCACCTAAGTGAAATAGGAGCATAAGTCTCATTGAAAGTCAACAGCTCAAGAATCAAAGTCCTGGTGACAGGTTTCAGAATAACAGCCGTGTTAGTCTGTATTTGCAAAAAGAAAAGGAGGACTTGTGGCACCTTAGAGACTAACCAATTTATTTGAGCATAAGCTTTCGTGAGCTACAGCTCACTTCATCAGATGCATACTGTGGAAAGTGTAGAAGATCTTTTTATACACACAAAGCATGAAAAAATACCTCTCCCCACCCCACTCTCCTGCTGGTAATAGCTTATGTTGTTCAGAGGTATGTTGGAAATATTCCTTGAGTCGGAAGTCCTGGTGAGTTTCAATGGGACTTTATTCCTTAGGTGCTTTGGAAAAGCCACCCAATAATACATAAATCTTATGCAGTGCATTTCAGCCACACATCTTAAAGTGCTTTACGCAGATAGGAGAACTGAAACGCAGAAAGGCAAAGAGACCCCCTTCCCCGGACACAGAGCAGGCCATGGGTAGAGCGGAGAACAGAACACAGGAGTCCTGGATCACCACTGCATGATGCCTTTGGGTGGGAATACTCACTGGAGTCAGGGCTGAAGGACTGAGCAAAAAACATGCGTAAAGTGCTGTGAATGCCTATTGCTTAATTGTTATGCACTGATGGAGATGCACTGAGCTCTGTATCAAATATTTATTTATTTATAGTCGAAATGATGGTCTTCTTTTGTTTTTCAGTGAGTGTGTTGAAGAAACATTGCCAGCTCCTGAGACCCAGGACAAAGGTGAATGTTTGATTTTTTACTTTTTTGAGAGTTTGAAGTTTTTTCTTTTTCTTAATCTGAATACTGATATTTTGTATGCAATAAAATGCTATTGCACACACAAAAACTACATTAAAAGAACATTATTAAGGTTGGAATGGCACATAAGTGGGTTGGAATGGCACATAAGGTTGGAAAGTCAAGCACTCAAAAGTTAGGAAATGTCAGAATTAAGGTTACCTGTGTGACTTTAATTCAGCCCCCTTGTGCATATGCATGGTACAGTCTTCAGTTATAGGTTCAAATACTGTTTTTTCCACAAGATCCCTGGGGATGGACCCGCTCTGGGGTTGTTCCTTAGTACTATTCTTTAAACATAGCTTTTTGGGTGGAGTTTTCTAGGTTTTTTAAAAAAAGCAAACTGGAAAAACAGAAATTCTGTCATGTGGCATCGTATTGAGACCCACATGGGTGATCAGCAGGGTTAGAACTTTTATGTCCACTGCTCAGACCTTTGCCACCTGAGTTAACTGAGTAACTAATTGCCATAGTAGGTGGTTATACTCTACGTGGACCAGCTTAGAGGAAGAGGAGACACTTTGCTAGTGGACTTCACAGATATTTGCTGACAGCAGAGGAATGGTGAGACTCAGAAATCTTATGTTCCATTCCAGTCTCTGGAGTGTGCTTTACCCGGCAGATTCATCTATCACTTCTTTTCCAATCTATCCCTGTCCCAGCCCTGTCTCTTCCCTACCCCTGGCTCCTCAGCCCTGTCCCATTCTCCTCACGGAGCAAGTCCCAGTCTCTTCTCCTTAGACCTCTCATCCCTCATTGCCCAACCAGGCCCAGTCTCCCACTCTGGACCCAGTCCCAATCTTCCTGCTGCTCCCAGACCCAGTCTCCTTGCTTGCCATTTGCAGTTTCCTCACCACCCATCTCCAGCTCCTTGTCTCCAGACTGCTTTCACATCCAGTCCCCGTTCCTCATACTTGGCTCCTTGTTTGATCAGTCTCTCTCCCCCTGCCCCAGTTCCAATCACCCTCACACCTGTGCTCCTTATCCCCACTAGCTCCCAGTCTCAGTCTCCCTTCCCAGGTCCCTCATCCAGTTTCAGTCTTCAACTCCCCATCTTCTTGTCCCAGTCCCTTTGGCCAGTCAGTCCCAGTCCTTCGCCCGCACCCTGGCTCTTCATCAGAACTGTCTCCCCTCCCCGCATCGCCTTACTGCTCACTGGTTTCCAGTTCCAGTCCCATTGCCCAGCCAGTCTCAGTCTCATCCCAGCTCCTCAGCCGATCTCAGTCTCTCCAACTACCCACCAGCTCCCAGCCCCTCCCCTGCATTTCTTTCTCTGGCTCCCAGTGCCAGTCTTCTTTGCCAGCCAGTCCCAGATTCACTGACTACTCCCAGTTCTAGTCTTCCCCCCGTCCGCCTGTCTCCCATCTTCACCCCCCACACCTCCCCCCCAGGCTCCTTGTCCTACTTAACTGAGACAGAGCCTGCCTGTCCAGTGATGCCCTTATTGCTGGGCCTCGGCAGAGTGAAGGAGGAAGGAATCGAATGCAGAGGGTACAAGGACTGGACCTGGGAAGGTCGGGGGAGTGAAATGACTGATACACCAGCCTTTGGGGATGATCTTACTTGGGTTGCTTGGAACATATCGGCTGTAGCATGTGTTTGAGTAAGAACTCCTTTTCATGTCCTGCTTCTGGGGATTAGTTTTGGCTTCCTTGGAACGCCGTGCTTGATAAGCGTGGTGCACCAGTACAGGCTGCTGAAATGGATACAGGCCTTGAAACAATTGCATCATTTCTATGATTAAGATCCACTAATGACCTGCAGAAATGGAGCATAAAACTATAACTGAGTGGGTCCTTATGGGTTTATTCTTCTCTGTTCCCTCATCTTATTTCATGTATTGTTACTGTTGCTTATTTATGATGGCAGCACCTACAGGCTAGGGCCCCTTTGTCCTAGACACTGTAAAAACATGCCCCGAAAGTAACAAATCCCCTGAATGTAAGCAAAGCTCCTAAAGGTAAAAGACAGTCCCCACTATATTTACACACACACACACACACACACACACCAGGACAGAAAAGATGCAAGATACTGCTCTCTGGTAATGCTAGAAGAGTGATGCAGTGTATAAGAACTTGAAGTAGAAACTAGAGATGGTTGAACAAACGATGTCTGTGTTCTTGTTGACAGACCCGTATGTTAACATGCCCCACGCTCAGAATACTGAAGACACATTAAGGACCTCTGAGGTAAATCTGTTTTAAAATAGTTTTACATGAGAGGTACTCCTTGTATACAGCTTTTGGCAATGATCGTAGAGCAGGCAGCCGGGGACCCAATCAGGAGTGGCAAGAGAGGCTAGAAAGCCCAGCAGGAGAGGGCCAGAAGGAAGCGCAGTGGGGACAGTTGGAGAAAACAAGGGGGAAGCACAGAGAAGCTGGGGATATTCTGAGAAAGAGGGATGTAGTAGAGGGAACAGAATGGGTGGAGCTGAGGTTCCCACACCAAAGGTGGATGGATTCACAGTTTAGTCAAAATATGGATATCTAAATGTTATATAAGGAGCTAAAATTCCATCTAGCGACTTCCCTCTTGTCATTCCTGACATCACCAGGACCCCGGATGGAATTACAGCCCCTCCCCCCAGTGGCCCCACAGCTGCCTGTTATACTCTCTGTACCTGCAGAGGAGCAGTTAAACCCCCAGAAAGGTGTACAATCAGCAAGCCATTTCCTCCTGTGTCAGACAGAACCTTTCCCAGACAGATTGCTGCCGTCTTCCTCTCTCTTCTAGGAAGCATGTTTCTTCACTGTCTAAGCCCCAGCTTGTGCTGCTGTGACTGTGCTGGCCACCAAGCACTAGCAGTGTGGTCAGGTGAAGGGCCGGAGATGGGACTCCTGTCACACTGACATACTAGGTCAGTGTACAAGGAGGCAGTTGTGTTACCTGTGCCTTTTTAAAAAATAACCCCAAAATACTGGAGTCTCACTGGGACTGGCCAGCTGGGAGGAAGGGATCGTAGGGTATGTCTAGAACAGGGGTTCTCAACCTCTCTCTTTCTGAGCCCCTGCTTCCCCCCCCCCCCCCAACATGCTGTAAAAACTCCATGGCCCACTTGTGCCACAACAACTGTTTTTCTGCATATAAAAGCCAGGACCAGTGTTAGGGGATAGCAAGCAGGACAATTGCCCGGAGCCTAAGCCACAGGGGCCCCCATGAAGCTAAGTTGCTCAGGCTTCAGCTTCAGCCCCATGCCGGGGTGGAGAGGAAGGCTTCACCTTTCTACCCTGGGCCACAGCAAGTCCAATGCTGGCCCAGCTTGGCAGACCCCCTGAAACCCGCTCGTTGCCCCCCAGGGGCCCTGGACCTGTGGGTGAGAACCATTGGTCTAGAATAACCTTGGGGTGTGATTGCAGCTTGAGCTGACATACGCGAGCTAGCTTTGATCTAGCTAGCTTGGGTCCCAGACCAGCGAAGCCACTATACAAACCCACTTGGAACCCTGGGCAATGACTCCTAAGGCTAGCCCATGCAGAAGTCCATGGTACCACAGCTGCTCCAGTATCCAAGCTAGCTAATTAAAGCTGGCGTGGCTATGTATACACGAGCTGCCATCACACCCTGTGATGACATGGTTGACATACCCGTACAGGCTGTATGTGCCGCCTCCCAAACAAATGTGATCAAAAAATCGAGTCACCTTATTTTATGCATCTGCACAACAGCATCATCTTCTAATACACACAGCTATTCGAGTAGCCTATCCAAAGGGGTCAGAAGAGAGAAAGTAGAAGGGAAGGATTTGTGACCAACCAGCTGTTAGCTTAGCAAGCTTGTAACATCTTTTCAATAAACCTTGGCCAGCTTGGGTCACAGATTGCTCCCCCTCCACTCTACTGATAAGACAAACCTGGGCTGACTAAAAGGAAAAAGTCCCCTTATGCCAATAATGCTTATGGGATATGGCTCCACAGGCTAGTAATGGCATCAGAACCAGATATTGGAGTCTTTCTTTATAGTTTTCAGAGGAACAGCCGTGTTAGTCTGTATTCGCAAAAAGAAAAGGAGTACTTGTGGCACCTTAGAGACTAACCAATTTATTTGAGCATGAGCTTTCGTGAGCTACAGCATCTGATGAAGTGAGCTGTAGCTCACGAAAGCTCATGCTCAAATAAATTGGTTAGTCTCTAAGGTGCCACAAGTACTCCTTTTCTTTTTTCTTTATAGTGAAGGTGAGCTGCAAAGGACTTTCTAAAACACTGGGATTGTGTCCTTTTTTGCTGCTTTCTCTTGGATGCAGAATACTTGGAGGGGTTATTTAAAAACAAATAAACACCCCCTCTTTTCTCTAACCTTTAAAAATATTAGGCATGTCTAGCCTGGTCTTCTCTGATTTTGCTACAGAACTGGTTGGGGTCGTCCATGTCTATTATGAGCTTCTACACCTCAGCAGATGGGGTGGTAATGTGCTACCGCTAACAAAAACACCCTGTCTCCCAAGTATTCGTTAGTCACGGGAGTCAAATAAGTGTAAAACAAAACAAACAAAAAAAACAGTCTGAGTCTGGCTAAAAATCCCTTCCCTTCCCTTCCCTGTTGCTAAACTTTCACTCCTGTGATTTTTCTCGTTTGGCAGTTGCCAGCAGGGTGGACAAGGTCTGAATTTCTAAAGTGAAAAAAGAACCGAAATATTTTTGGAAAAATTCTTTCAGGGCTTTTGCATAAAGAATCAATAAATAGCAGTAGCCCCAGTTTTTCTGCCCTCTGCAGGTCTCTGCTAGCCAGGAGAAAGATTTGGACTTACGGTCAGTCTGCTCCTGACTATGCATTAACAGCCCTTGTGGAGATCAGCCTTGAGGTCTCATTTACCTAAAAAGAGACAAACACACAGACCGATGGGTGCAAACACACATACTCAGAGGGATCCATGCCACTGGCCATTACTTACAGTCAAGTAACAAGGTCTTGTTATTTTCAGAGACATGGTCCAATGTACCCTAAAAATAGAAAACATGAGTCAATTGTTACTTTTCCCATCCTTCAGTGAAAACATCTTCATCCCCCTCAGCTGCTTTCACCCCTGTCTGGTATTCATAACAATTCACAAGCTCCAAGCTAAAGCGGCAAATGCCTGGGGAAACTGGAGCCAATACAACAGCTGTAGCTCATGTGAGTAGTCACTTTAACTTAAGGACGGGTTCAGTAGTGAGGAGGGCTGATATTTACATGGTCCCAGGAAATGGTTTGGATTGAATTTGTTAAAGGAAATCAATAGGGTGCTGTTCTTTGCCTGGCCCGATGGCAGCCTCCCTTCTTCAAGCTCCCTGTGTGCTCATCAAGTAATCCAGACACTGGGCTAGGAGGTCAGCTCTTTTGTTGTCCAGCAGCTTGGGTTAGAGACTACTTAGAAAACTGTGGCATGCTGAAGAGGCTATAATTACATCTAGTGCCTCCAGCCTCACTCCTGTCATTCCTGACAGTACCAGAACCACAGCTGGAATTACAACTCCCCCTACAATCCCAGTTAAGAGCTTCCTGTTATTCATTTGGTAGCTGTATAGCCCTGAAGAGCATGAATGAGACAGAATCATACACTGACTCTTTACTCTTCTCATGGTGCAGTTTGCCTTGCCCTGCGAAGATGCTGGAAATAAAGGCTCCTCATTAGAAGAGAAAACAGGTATCTAGGTACTTATAGGACCCCCATCACTGTCTGATCTAAGTGCATCCTAATTGTTAATGGCTTTTAGACTCTCAGAACCCCAGCGAGGTAGGGACATATCATCCTTATTTGACAGGCTGGGAACTGAAGCACAGGGTGGGTTAAATGACTTGCCCAAGGTCACACAGGCAGTCTGTGGTTGAGCCAGGAATTGAACTCCTGGCCTACCTGAGCCCTAGTCCCGTGTTCTACCTACTAGACCATCCTTCTTACCCTAACTAGCCTTTCCCCGACAGTATTTCATCAAATCTATAATTGCTAGTTAGTGCACTGTTCTCTATACAGAGTTTGGCCATTGTTTATTACTGGCCTCCCTGGCTGCCAATATGGTGCAAGAGGTCACAGTTTATATGATTCTTATAGACATGTCATACCCCTGTTTTGTTTCCTCCACAGGAGAGCCTGCTGTTTCAGAGTCCACCACTCCCAGTCAAGGGGATTCAGTGCCCAAGAAGGTGCCTTGTGTTCTATCCACAGTTTTCTCACAGTCATGCAGCAGCACAAGTGACATTTCATCACCATCGACCCCTTAGAAAATTCATACCAGATGCAGAACTTGTATGTCAAAGAGAATAAATGGCTTATTCAGCTCTTTGGGTTTGGGTGTTCGTCAGTTACATTAGTGATTAATCGTAGATTAAAACTCATGGAGTCAAACAAACCCTAATAGAAGAGAGAGACAAACACAGGGAAACCTAAACAAAAGGACTAGTGAGTTATTCTTTTTACAGGTGGAAGATGTTACAGCCCAGCTCCTGCCACCCTGACGGACAGCTGGGAGTGCTGTCACGGAGGCCAGCAGACATCTCAATGCCTTCCTTCAGACAGGTGTTGGTAGAGCTGTGTTTGTTAGGATGAGCCCTGGTGTCATGTACCAGAGACAACCAGGCTGTAGCCATAAGCAGTTAGATAGCCCTGATGTCATCTATTTATCAGAGGTGCAGGCCCTGCCAGAATGTCTCTTGGACCCCACATCGCCTCAGGCACATGATTAAGATCATGTGACCAAAGGGAACTTCAATAGCCCTTTTCTTTTAACTGGGTGCAGATAATGCTCCTATTCATCTCCCAATTAACAGGCCACTTTGAATTGCCCCAGCAGTTCTTGCTGACCACAAACCAATGGGAACTGTGAACATGTGAACGTACTGTACACACACTCTAACGGTCAGTCATTGATTAATTCTCCTGCTCGTGGAGCGCTGAGTGCACAATTCAGTTTGCCTGTTTCCAGAAAGTCTGGCTCCTACCAATGTTATGGCTATGTCTATGTTAAGGCAGAGGGAGGTGAGATCAGAAGCCACGACATCCCTCCAGCATTTTCAAGACCTTCCTCAAGGTCTTCGCCAACCAGCTTTTGTTGGATTAACCACATAAAGCTGGCGGGTTGGTAGGGACTCCAGCACACTGAGCAGATGGCCAAGCCACTTGAACCAGCATTGTCATTTGGGAAGATATTGGTTGCTGGTTGGTCCAGTGCCTCACATCCTTGTTCACAACATGATGGAACCACCATACGCCTTCAATATGCTGTTGCTATTTCATGTCAAAAGCATCCAGCTGGTGCATTTGCATCTCTGTGGTGGCTTCAGAGGTTTCAGAGCCATGCATATATATACACAGCTTTGAAACACTAACAGCTGAAAAACAAAAAACTACTCCTCTCCATTATGCATTTATAGTGTATGCAAGCATGTCTTGGATGCAGCCACACACTCCTGGCCTGTTATCACATAGAATATCAGGGTTGGAAGGGACCTCAGGAGGTCATCCATTCCAACCCCCTGCTCAAAGCAGGACCAAGCCACAATTTTTGCCCCCAGATCCCTAAATGGCCTCCTCAAGGATTGAACTCACAACTCTGGGTTTAGCAGGCCAATGCTCAAACCACTGAGGTATCCTTCCCCCTCCATCATACGTGCTGTTCTTATGTGGAATAATATGTTACAGGATGCATAAGGAGACAACAGGTAAAAGATGTGTGATGTTTCACACATCGGAATCTGCAGAGCACAGCAGCTGGATATGCTAGACAGGGTTATGATCCCATGTAGCCAAGGAATTTAATCCATGGAAACACTGTGGGCCAGATTCTGCCACTCTTGCTCATGTTGAGTAATGCATTACTCCATGACTAGTCCCATTCATTTCTGTGGGATGACTCAGAGTAAAGTGCACCTCTGCCAACAGACCCCTTCACTTGTGGATTCCCACAAAAATCAATTCTCTCTCCAGTCCTACTCAACATTGACAGGCATCCCTCTAGGTGAACTGATCAGACAACGTGGACTCAAGTGCCAGCAATATGCAGATGACACACAGCTTTAGTTATCCTACACCACCTCGTCCCTGTGGGAGAGGACTCCAGAAACAAAGCCTCAGTTGGCATGGTTGAACACTCAGTGAGGCCCCCCTCACAGGGGATCCAAAAATCCCTTCCTAATCTTGTCACTGGAAAAAAATATCTTCCAGTTTGTAGATGTAGAATGAATGATTATCCAGCTCAGCCCCAGCCCTGTGAGGATAAGCTTGTATGGACACCAACTGCCCTTTTCCAGGTCGACAGATTGCATCACGCACAGCCCTCTTCCCTGGCCTACTGGATACGGGGACTTGGTCTGGTTCCCCACATCCCACCCCCAAGTGTCTTACAGGGTAAGAAAGTCTGAGAGAGAACATTAAGAAGAGACACAGAAAACCACTCAGGTGTAGAAATGTTCCATTTCATTTTATTCAGATGTTTACATCCAGTTTGTTGGCAGAACTCGCTACACGTGTGACACTTCAGCTTACATGTGTGAATCCCAAACATTCCCACAGTCCCTAGGATGAGGAAACTGGTCTTTACATTTTGAAGACTCATGCTTGAGACTCCACCTTTGTAGCCCACGAGCCCTGAGAATCTTGTCTCTCGAGCAGAGTTTCCATTAGGTTAGACAATCTCACTGCTGGAGCCGATACTGACTGCACGTCCTCGTGGACACTTACCCTTTGGGACTTGGGAGGTTCTGAGTGGGAGCACAGATACATTGCACTGGTAGAGGGGAACATAGAACCTCACACCACCAGCAATAACAGCACAGAACAATCTGCCATCACCTCCTCATGCCTGGTGGAGACCACATTTATGCGGTCAACAATATGGAGCTTTTCTTCAGGAAGTGACAGCAGAAGGCTGCTTCCTCCGCTCTTGCCTCATTTTCAGAGCCAGCATTGCCCTTCGATACAAGTCTGAGAGAAAATAAAGACCCATCATTAATAACAAAGGAAAGATTGTAAATCTTGCTGCTGAGCAAGACAATAAGAACCAACCAACCAACCTCTTGGGGCAAAACTGATTACCAGCGTGCAGGGCTCCTTTTCCTGGGCAGTATATTATGGGCCTAATTCAAAGCCCATTAGGTCAGAATTTCTGGGCTTGATGCTGAAGTTATGGCGTGAGGTTCTCTGGCCTGTGTTATGCAGAAAGACAGACTAGATGATCACAATGATCCCTTCTGGCCTTACAATCTATGTAGTCAATGGAAAGGCTCCCATTGACATTGATAAGCTTTGGATCAGGCCCTATGACAGCATGAGACCCCCCCCCCCCATCATGATAATGCTGAGCACAGACCTTGCTTGTTTCCCAGACAATGGAGCTTACCCTTAATTCATAACTCCCTATCCGCTCCTTTTTCCAGCCCTCTTCAAATAAAGAAGAGCAGCAGCAACTCCTCCTCTTTCCAGCAAGTGTTGCAGGATGGTATAGAAAAGGAGTTCATTCTGCATCAGTGGCTGGGGTAGCTTCCTGCTTGGCTCGCTGCCACCGCTCAACCACACATAAGCTAGCTCTGAAGAAAGGGTAGTTTTAAGTCCAGCGAGAAGATGACTAAAGGGGCCCTCTGTTCATCTAAGCAAAAACTGCCCATCTGAGCCAAAATAACCTCCAAAACCCAGTCTAATAACCTTAAAGATATTCTGCCATCCCTCATGTGGAAAGGCCAAACAGTATCAACAATTAACTTCAGCTAATGTATGCAAAAACATCTATACCATTCACCAGCCACCATCATCAAAACAAGACACCTGCCTTCTCTTGGGGAGAAGTTCTCTGAGAGAATAGAGTCACCCACCCGGTGCAGACTTTTGAGATATAACTTTGGAAAATCAAATGAACTTTGATATCTGACAATCCCAGGACAGCAGTCCCAGCTAAAGGTCTGAAGTATTCCCCGCCTTTCTGGACAGGCTATCCCCTATCCCAATTCCTTTTCAGCCTCACTCTCAAGTCCTCAAATCAGACTTCACCCCAAGGAATAGGGGGCATCTGTGATGGAACACACCGCTGTATTCACACCCGACACACTACTGTAATAGGTTTCAGAGGAACAGCCGTGTTAGTCTGTATTCGCAAAAAGAAAAGGAGTACTTGTGGCACCTTAGAGACTAACCAATTTATTTGAGCATGAGCTTTCGTGAGCTACAGCTCACTTCATCAGATGTTTACCGTGGAAACTGCAGCAGACTTTATATACACACAGAGAATATGAAACAATACCTCCTCCCACCCCACTGTCCTGCTGGTAATAGCTTATCTAAAGTGATCAACAGGTGGGCCATTTCCACACAAATCCAGGTTTTCTCACCCTCCACCCCCACACAAATTCACTCTCCTGCTGGTGCTAGCCCATCCAAAGTGACAATGTAAAGAGTTGTCACTTTGGATGGGCTAGCACCAGCAGGAGAGTGAATTTGTGTGGGGGGTGGAGGGTGAGAAAACCTGGATTTGTGCTGGAAATGGCCCACCTGTTGATCACTTTAGATAAGCTATTACCAGCAGGACAGTGGGGTGGGAGGAGGTATTGTTTCATATTCTCTGTGTGTATATAAAGTCTGCTGCATTTCACGGTAAACATCTGATGAAGTGAGCTGTAGCTCACGAAAGCTCATGCTCAAATAAATTGGTTAGTCTCTAAGGTGCCACAAGTACTCCTTTTCTTTTTGCGACTACTGTAATAATCTATGTACAAGGTATGCCTTGTAAGGCATCATTTGAAAACTCATAATTCACTGGTCAGTATTGTCCTGATAACATACATGTGGCAACACCGTATGTGAAGTTACAAGATTTCCCTGTTCCAAACCCCACAGCCCCGCCCAAGCAGAAGTCAGTAAACAGGTCTGTCCTAAACAAAGGAATGTGTGCTTGCCTTAATTTGCATTTAAGTAGTAAACAGAGTCATCAGGAAGGGAAGGAAAGGGAAAACAAAGAAAAACTCCAACAGGTGGGAAAAAAACCCCAGCAGGGAACATCCTTTTACATAGACTATTTCCTGGTTCTCAGCTGGAAATGTTTTTCAAGAGGGGGACTGAAATTATAAAATAAGGAGCAAACACCCCCAACGGACCCCCTTTCTCCATGCTCATCACATTCTCTGCACCTCAGAAGACAAAAGGAAACAGGGATTGGACTCTGGGGAGTGGCTCCTGACCTGAAGAGTTTGATCAGTAATCTTGCTGGAAGCATGTGGTGAGAAATTTTGCTAGAACCTAACACAGTTTGTTAAATTAGGCACTAGTAAGCATTTTATCTTTCTTGTACCCATTTCTGACTTTTATGCCTCATTACTTGTATTCACTTCAAATCTCTCTTTGTAGCTAATAAACTTGTTTTATTGTTTCATCCAATCCAGTGTGTTTAAATTGTCTAGGTAACTTCATTTATCATGATACACTGCTGTATATTATTTCCTTAAAAGGATAATGAACTTAATATTTGCAGACTGTCCCAGAGAGGGCTGGGCAGTACAAGATGTACATTTCTGGGGGAAAGTCCAAGACTGGGAGTGTGTTGGGGTCATCCTGTAGTATAACCAGGCTGTGAGAGCCAGGGTATGACTGGCAGGCAGCAGTTACACAATCACATCTGGGAGTGGCCTGTCTGCTGGTGGCTGGTTGTGAGCAGTCCAGGTTGGAGGCTACAGGAGCAAGGCACCCCAGGTTACAAGACAGGAATGACACAGCGACCCACTAGTCTGGATTATATGATGGTATGTCACAGTATCAGAGTTGCCTTGAACCATTGTATGTACTCAATACATACATATGTACTCTGGACACATCTGGCTATCCCTTTTAAACCTTGATTTCCAATACCCACCCAGATAACATCACTGGTCAGTCTGGGACCTTCCCAGGCTATAAGCTGTGCTGCAAAACAAATCAAACCGATACTGCTCACAACTTCTTGCTGACTAAACATACCATTCCCAACCATTCCTCAAGCCAACAGCAAGTTGGGGGAAGATACTTCCCCATGGTCAGTTTGAAATCCACCAGTAACTTGATGCAATACGGGCCATAACATTTCACAAGCTTTCCTGATCCAAGAAACACAGATGATAGCAGATCGAACCCTTCCCACTCTTTGCAGGAACATGGACAGCAGATGTACAGCATCCCCTCCTGCATACACGCTTCACCTGGGAAATACTGACCAAAGGTACCCGAGATGCCTTCGTTCTGTGGCTCCAGTGAGGACTCCTGGGACTTGATTTTATTTTTAATTTTCTTCTTTTTCTTCTTTGTGCTCTGCCCTGGATTAAATGAAGTTAAGTTAGATTTAACACTGGGACAAGGATTTTTTGTGGTCATTACACTAGCCGGGAAAACTTTGCCCAACAGCTTGCTGAGAACATCAGTATTTTCCTCCTCATTCTCACAGCAACACCTGCCAAGGATGGCAAAGATGTTCTGCAAAGTCTTCCCTTCCTTTCCCCCCTCCCATCCTCTCAGCCCCATGCAGCTAAACTTCAGTTAGGTGCTCTAAACTATCTACATTTCAGAACTCACTGTTTAGATCTGCAGTACCTGACATTTCTGTGTCCAGTTACAGAGAGTGGATTTATTAAGGCACCAGAGTTTTCTATGTTAAAAACCTAACTTATATTTCTATTACCACCTTTATTTCTATTACCACTCCCAATCTTCAAGGGTTAGTAACGCACCTGAGGGAAATGTCCTGTAATACAAAGCAGGGGGTATTGGTTTCAGGCTTGTGTTTTTTAAATGCTCTTAACCAAAAAGACATTTGTGGGGTGGATCTACAAGCAAACTGTGCAGTGCATATGGAATGGGATGGTTAGGGTAACTATTTTTAAGAACAGATCAAGTTTTCTATGACCTTCCAGAGAAGTGGCACTCACATGACCCTGTAGCAGGATGTCTAACCATGCTGTGAAATGTCCTGTGGCTCAGGAAATCTGCTAACCCCTGATTATGCTTGAACTTGGACTTTCAGAAAGCCTTTGATAAGGTCCCTCACCAAAGGCAAAGCAAAGGAGCAAAGTAAGCAGTCATGGGATAAGTGGAAATGCCCTGTCATGGATCAGTAACTGGTTAAAAATAGGAAACAAAGGGTAGGAGTAAGCGGTCAGTTTTCACAGTGGAGAGATAAATGGAAGGATCCCCCAAGGATCTGTACGAGAACCAATGCTGTACAATATATTCATAAATGACCTGGAAAAAGGGATAAACAGTGAGGTGGCAAAGTTTGCAGATGATACAAAATTATTATAGATAGTTAAGTCCAAAGGAGACTGCAAAGAGTTACAAAGGGATCTCACAAAACTGCGTGACTGCAAAAGAAAATGGCAGACACTCAATGTTGATAAATGCAAAGTAATGCACCTTGAAAAATGTAACACCAATGATACATACAAAATGATGGGGTCTACATTAGCTGTTACCACTCAAGAAAGAGATCATGGAGTCATCATGGATAGTTCTCAGAAACCATCCGCTCAAATATGAAGAGGCAGTCAAAAAAGGTAACGATGTTAGGAACCATTAGGAAAGGGATAAATAATAAGACTGTAAATATCATAATGCCACTGTAAAACTCCATGATACACGCACATCTTGAATATTGCACGTAGTTCTGGTTGTCCCATCTAAAAAAGATATATTAGAATTGGAAACAGTACAGAGAAGGGCAACAAAAATTATTAAGGATATGGAACAGCTTCCCTATGAGGAGAGGTTTAAAAAAACTTGGACTATTCAGCTTGGAAAAGAGACAACTAAGGGGGAGATGTTATAGAGGTCTATAAAATCATGATTGGTGGAGAAAGTGCACAAAGAAGTGTTATTTACCCCTTCACATAACACAGGCACTAGGAGTCACCAAATGAAATGAACAGGCAGCCGGTTTAAAACAAACAAAAGGAAGTCTTTCTTCACATAATGCACAGTCAACCTGTGGCACTCATTGCTAGGGGATGCTGTGAAGGCCAAAAGTACAACTAGATTCAAAAAATGAATTAGTTAAGTTCATGGAGGATAGGGCCATCAATGGCTATTAGCCAAGATGGTCAGGGACACAACCCCATGCTATGGGTGTCCCTAAACCCCAGACTGCTAGAAACGGACTGGATGACAGTGGATGGATCACTCAGTAAAGTGCCCTGTTCTGTTCACTCGCTCTAAAGCATCTGGCATTGGCGGCTGTCGGACGACAGGTTACTGGGATAGCTGGACCATTGGTCTGACCACTTTTGTTCAACATCTTTATTAATGATCTGGATGATGGGATGAATTGCACCCTCAGCAAGTTCGCAGATGACACATGGCTGTGGGGGGAGAGGTAGATACGCTGGGGGGTAGGGATAGGGTCCAGAGTGACCTAGACAAATTGGAGGATTGGGCCAAAAGAAATCTGATGAGGTTCAACAAGGACAAGTGCAGAGTCCTGCACTTAGGAAGGAAGAATCCCATGCACCGCTACAGGCTGGGGACCGACTGGCTAAGCACCAGTTCTGCAGAAAAGGACCTGGGGATTACAGTGGACAAGAAGCTGGATATGAGTCAGCAGTGTGCCCTTGTTGCCAAGAAGGCCAACGGCATATTGCCCTGTATTAGTAGGAGCATTGCAGCAGAGCGAGGGAAGTGATTATTCCCCTCTATTTGGCACTGGTGAGGCCACACCTGGAGCACTGTGTCCAGTTTTGGTCCCCCCACTACACAAGGGATGTGGACAAATTGGAGAGAGTCCAGCGGAGGGCAAAAAAATGATTAGGGGGCTGGGGCACATGATTTACAAGGAGAGGCTGAGGGAACTGGGGTTATTTAGTCTGCAGAAGAGAAGGGTGAGGGGGGATTTGATAGCAGCCTTCAATTACCTGAAGGGGCATTCCAAAGAGGATGGAGCTCGGCTATTCTCAGTGGTGGCAGATGACAGAACAAGGAGCAATAGTCTCAAGTTGCAGTGCGGGAGGTCTAGGTTGGATATTAGGAAACACTATTTCACTAGGAGGGTAGTGAAGCACTGGGATGGGTTACCTAGGGTGGAGGTGGAATCTCCATCCTTAGAGGTTTTTAAGGTCCGGCTTGACAAAGCCCTGGCTGGGATGATTTAGTTGGGGATTGGTCCTGCTTTGAGCAGGGGATTGGACTAGATGACCTCCTGAGGTCTCTTCCAACCCTAATAGTCTATGATTCTATGGCCGTTCTTATGTTTTTATGCTTAGCATGTGGCATTCAGGAGGGTAACTAAATACTCACTAGAGAAGAATAAGCTCTGTAGAGTTTGTGTCACATGGACCAGACAGTGACAGGTTCATTGGCAGGTGGCCTACACCAAGGCACCCAACGCAGGTTGACTCGGAGGTTCAAGTTCCACAAAACCTGAGCAAGTTCCTTTGCTATGGCACTAAAACCTTATAGGGATCTGCTACCACCTGTTTTATATTAGTGGCTGCAGCACAAGTATTTCCCAATTCCATGGTGAGGGAATGGGGAACAGGTGCTTCTTGATACCACTGCAGGATTTGGGGGACAGGCTTAGTAGAGAAGGTCACAAACCCCAGGAGAGGGCAGGAATCAGGCCACCATCACGACCCACCATCTGAAAACAACATGCTAGGTGAAATTCAGAGGGCCCCATGTGATGGGAACACCCTGGATGGACCTGCTCTGATTGTCTGCAGGTTGGTTATAAACTGGACCCATCCTGACCTGAGGTGGGTGTTGGGTTCCAGCTAAACTTTTCACACAGTTAGTGTTTACATGTGCAATATGTGCTGTTCCAATTCCCCTGAGTTGAAGTGGTGTCCATCATCTGTAGGTCTACAGTTTGGTTCAACAGCTCTCAGCATCCCCCACTAAATGAATTGTTCCAGCACCCCTGCTAGAGCCTTCTTTCAGTCTGATGCCTACTAATATTGTTACCTGCCGGGAGAGGAATTGTCCCCTGTGGGAGTGGTTTCTCCTGGCCAACTCTGTTGCTGTGGAGGAGCCCAACGGCAGCACTTGCTCTGTTCTCTCCTCCCCAAGCTTTCCCTTCCTCTTCATCAGCCACGTTCCCACACTGCACCAACCCTTTCTTCTTCATCTTCACTTTCTTTTTCCTTCTCTTGGGTACCCTTGGGCCTTCCTCCTTCTGTGCAGGGAAGAGGTGGGGGAAGTCCATTACCAGAGGTCAGTCCCTGTTTGGTGGGGATAGTAACAGGAACAGCAATATTAAGGGGTGAGGAATGAGTGGAGAGGCTGGTTACCTGTGGGAGGATGTTCTGGATGGGCTGTAGTGGTTTGTACTCCCCTATCTTGGCGCTTCCTTCCTGGGAACTCTCCCTTCTGGCCAGCAACTCCCTAGCGACAGGGAAGCACAGACAAATTAACAAATTCACCCCCCATCTCCCGCAGTATTTTTCCTCCCAGAGCCCTTAGCTGCAGTGTCCCCTGCTGCCTGGCTGTGGCAAGGAAGGGCACACTACCAGACAGCAGGAATTCAGAGACCAGAGCATGGATGCCTCTCAACTGCAGGCCTCAAGCAAAATCCTGTCCCCGGGATCTTGCCCCGTTGAGGAGCCCAGAGGCTCAGGTTCCCGGATGCTGATGGAGGCCCTTAACATTCTGTAGCATCCTCTCCAGCCAGCCATTCCATGAAGCCAGTCCCAGGCCTCTGCTGAGCATGTGACCAAGAGCTCCCTATATGCCTGAGGGTGCTTCTGTCACATCCCAGCAGGCATGCATCACTTCCCCTGCTCACGGACCTGCAGCCGCCACACCTTATACACCAACTCTTGTTCCCTGAGGGCTTTTCAAGAGGCCCCATGTAGTTTAGTTGAAGGGGGGGCCTGCCCAAAGTTCTCTCCCCCAATCTGGTCCCAGGGAAGCACCTCACCCACCCCACTGTCACCATGCCAGCTAAAATGGCCACCTCTTTCATGCTCCCAGTTTTGAATATAACCACCCCTCCCCCCATTGGTTTGTACACACAGGCCCAACTCTTGAGGCACCAGGGGAGATGCTGGCACAGCCCCTGCTGGGAGAGAGAGAATCATAGAATATCAGGGTTGGAAGGGACCTCAGGAGGTCATCTAGTCCAACCCCCTGCTCAAAGCAGGACCGATCCCCAATTTTTGCCCCAGATCCCTAAATGGCCCGCTCAAGGATTGAACTCACAATCCTGGGTTTAGAAGGCCAATGCTCAAACCACTGAGCTATCTGCCCCCCATCATCTCTGCTGAGAGGTGCGTGAGGAAGTTCACAGCTACTCCAGTATCACTAGGAATGGCATTAGTTACTGCGTATCGTGAGGACCCTCTTGGATGGGGGCAGTGCTATAATTACAGAGCTCCGTGGAGCACTTTTCGTTGTGGTGCAGTGTCATCCTGGAGCCTGATTCTGCTCCCATTTTCACTGGTGTAACTCCTTGGGCTTGGCTGGAGTTATTCCTGACTTACACCGGTGTAAGGGAGAGGAGAAGAGTGAGAAATGTGCTAGTTCGGGGGGGGGGGCAGTCTTTGGCTTTGAAGAATGAATCCCCCTCTTCTAGGCTGGCTGTCTGCACTCAGATCCACAGATGTCAGACCAAGGGCAGGGCATGGCCCAGAACGTTAACTCTCCATAGAGCAAACCTCTCCCTCCGTGTTTGGCTGCGGGTCCGCGCTGCTCTCCTGGGAGCCTCTTGCTCTCCAGGGGCTGGCTGGTCAGGGCTGTCTTGTTGCACCCGGGCACTCAGGACACTGTAGTTGATGGCAATGGTGTGCAGGAGCCAGCGGAGTCCCTGCAGAATGGTCCGGGACTGGCTTTTATGGAGACTTTTGGTTGCTGAAGATGGCTCCTGTGGGCAGAGAAAGCCCAAATCAGCATCTGCAGCAGCAGCAGCTTGACAGCAAAGCAGCGAGGAGGAAAGGTACCTGAAAAACTGCAGAGAGCAGCTCACTGCAGGGAGAAGGCCAGCCACCCGGCTTCTACTATTGCAACCGGGGAAGTCCCCGTATGGCTCACTGGCACAGCAACTCACAAGAGTCCCAGATCAAGGTCAGCAGTAACATACAGGACACACATCTGATTGCCCAATTAGGCTAAGGATTAAGGCAGCTCTAATGTCTGGCCATCAGGTTGCAGACCTGGGGCCATACTGTGGATTTCTGTATCTGAGACAGAATCACCTGATTGGCAAGTTTGGGGAAACACACTGAGTCCTTTGACGTGAGATGGCCTGGCTAGGAGAGGGGTAGCAGGAAATAGTGACCTGGTTGCAAAGCATGTGGAGAAGTTTCTCCTCTCCCACATAAGATCTAGACGTGCAGAGAGACTGACACCATCCCAGCATGCCAAGCCACTCACAGGCAGCATGGGGAATCCTGCTCCAAAACTGCCACAGGCTGCCACCAAGTAAACCAAAGGACAATCTCAGCTGTAGCAGTGTTTATATCCTCTGAGGACCTCCGGTCACTAGCTGATAACATGGTCACACACTTGAACAGGTCCAGTAGAGGGCACGGGGGACAGACACCTGCCTGTATATGACATTCCCCTTCCACCCAGTGGAATCCTAATCTTAACCTCACACTGAGCGATCTGCTAGCTTCAAGACAGCCTGAGTGGTGTGGATTAGGGTTTGGGCCTTATTTTTATTAGGCTGTCATGGGCTCAGTGCCTCTTCAGGAGAATTAGGGCCTAATTGTCTCACAACGACCCTGTGGGCTACACCTAAGAGCAGGCAGGTGCTGCCCCTTTAGCTAATCAGCAATGGAGCAGCTGAGCTAGAACAGTGTAAAGGAAAAGTTCCCAGAAGGAAAGGAGAGAAAAAGAAGTGCTCACAAGCAAGGTGCTGCGGCTGCTGCAGGCTGGGAGGAGCCCACAGGAGGTAGAGCAGCCCTGGGTGGGGGCGACAGTGACAGCTGCAAGAGAACCATCAGGAGCCCTGGAGAAGGGAGACAGTGGTGGAGTTCCTGTCATTAGGCTCTGGGAAAAGAGCCGGCCTTGGCCTCCCGACCAGAGAGTCTACATGTAAACACTGGCTTCTGGGAAGGGAATAAGGAGAGAGAAGAAAGCCCCAGGGAGCAGAGCAGACTCTCTCTTGGCGAAGCCCTGAGTTAGGGCCTACAATGTTTAGAAGAAACTCTTGGGGAGCTGGTTGGTTTGACCCCTGTGAGAGGAGTTCTGGGACAGGGCTTGTAACTTGGAGACCCCAGAGGTAACCTGCCAGAGTCCCTGGGGAAGAGAGGCTGCATGGGGAATCCTGTTGGAGAGGAGGTAGATGTTAGTTTGGCCCAAGAGGGACCGAGGAATTACTACTTTGGATTTGTTAGAACTTTTGTTTGGACCTTTTTGTTGCCCCTGGAGGGTATGGACATTGACTTGGCTGGAGGGCTGAGCCACGCAAGACCTGGCAAGAGGCAGGCATCCAGCAGGAGGCACTGGGGATGAGGACCCCTTGCAGCATTGCGCTTTGACACAAGGGGATGCTACAGATGGTGAGTACACCCCCTTCCATAGGCCAAATGCTTCTCAGCCGCTCCCTGTTAAATACTGGTGATGGGACACTAGATACCGAATAAATAACGTCCTTTAATGTCCTCACCAATGCTGAGGTGGTGGCATAAAATGGGGAGAAATGTTTATAATTCCCAGGGAACCTTTGCTTATGTATCTCCCATATTCACAGCCCAGTTCCTGACTGCTGGGACTGATGCAGAGGTGCTCATGGGGCCACGCATCTTCCTCCCCTGGCACTCCCAGACGCCCTGGGAGTTGGTCCCATCACTCCCCCTACTCAGCATAAGGCTCTGCATGAAGAGTCTCTCCAAAGATACTATGGCCAAAATTTTCAAAAGTGGCCACTGATTTTGTGTGGCAGGAGCCCAGCTTACACCCCCTTAGTATGGGGGTGCAAGTCAGTGGGAGCTACAGGTGCTCAGGCCCAAGGTGTCTCAAGTTGGGCTCCCAGAAAATGAGCCACCCCAAAAAATCACTGGGCATTTTTGACAGTGCTGGTCTGCATGTTCCACATGCCCATGTTTTCTCCCCTCTACATAATTTCCTTTGTAGATGGCAAAAGACCCACAGCTTAATGCGTTCCCAGGAGCCGTGATTCCTGTATACGTATGAAAATGAATGAGACGGCTTCCGGTCTTCACAGCTGAGGATGTTAGGGAGATTGTCACTACAAAAGGTTTTTTTTCCTCTCCTGCTGGTAATAGATCTCCTTACCTGATCACTCTCATTACAGTGTGTATTGTAACACCCATTGTTTCATGTTCTCTGTGTATATAAAATCTCCCCACTGTATTTTCCACTGCATGCATCCAATGAAGTGAGCTGTAGCTCACGAAAGCTTATGCTCAAATAAATTTATTAATTTCTAAGGTGCCACAAGTACTCCTTTTCTTTTTGTGGATACAGACTAACATGGCTGCTACTCTGAAACTTAACAGTAACAAGTCACTGGGACCAGATGGCATTCACCCAAGAGTTCTGAAAGAACTCAAATGTGAAATTGAGGAACTATGGTTTATAACCTGTCCTTTAAATCAGCTACTGTACCCAATGACTGGAAGATAGCTAATGTAACGCCAATATTTAAGAAGGGCTCTAGAGGTGATCCTGGCAATTACAGACCGTTAAGTCTAACGTCAGTACCAGGCAAATTAGTTGAAACAATAGTAAAGAATAAAATTGTCAGACACATAGAAGAACATAAATTGTTGCCCAAAAGTCAACATGGTTTCTGTAAACGGAGATCATGTCTTACTACTCTATTAGAGTTCTTTGAGGGGGTCAACAAACATGTGGACAAGGGGGATCCAGTGGACATAGTTTACTTAGATTTCCAGAAAGCCTTTGACAAGGTCCCTCACCAAAGGCTTCTATGTAAATTAAGTTGTCATGGGATAAGAGGGAAGATCCTTTCATGGATTGAGAACTGGTTAAAAGACAGGGAACAAAGAGTAGGAATAAATGGTAAATTTTCAGAATGGAGAGGGGTAACTAGTGGTGTTCCCCAAAGGTCAGTCCTAGGACCAATCCTATTCAACCTATTCATAAATGATCTGGAAAAAGGGATAAACAGCGAGGTGGCAAAGTTTGCAGATGATACTAAACCACTCAAGATAGTTAAGACCAAAGCAGACTGTGAAGAACTTCAAAAAGATCTCACAAAACTAAGTGACTGGGCAACAAAATGGTAAATGAAATTTAATGTAGATAAATGTAAAGTAATGCACATTGGAAAAAATAACCCCAATTATACATACAATATAATGGGGGCTAATTTAGCTACAACTAATCAGGAGAAGGATCTTGGAGTCATCGTGGATAGTACTCTGAAGACATCCGTGCAGCGGCAGTCAAAAAAGCAAACGGGATGTTAGGAATTATCATCAAAAAAGGGATAGAGAATAAGATGGAGAATATCTTATTGCCCTTATATAAATCCATGGTATGCCCACATCTTGAATACTGCGTACAGATGTGGTCTCCTCATCTCAAAAAAGATATACTGGCATTAGATTCAGAAAAGGGCAACTAAAATGATTAGGGGTTTGGAACGGGTCCCATATGAAGAGAGATTAAAGAGGCTAGGACTTTTCAGCTCCAGAGGAGACTAAGAGGGGATATGATAGAGGTATATAAAATCATGAGTGGTGTGAAGAAAGTGAATAAGGAAAAGCTATTTACTTGTTCCCATAATATAAGAACTAGGGGCCACCAAATGAAATTAATGGGTAGCAGGTTTAAAACAAATAAAAGGAAGTTCTTCTTCACTCAGCGCAAAGTCAACCTGTGGAACTCCTTGCCTGAGGAGGTTGTGAAGGCTAGGACTATAACAGGGTTTAAAAGAGAACTGGATAAATTCATGAAGGTTAAGTCCACTAATGGCTATTAGCCAGGATGGGTAAGGAAAGGTGTCCCTAGCCTTTGTTTGTCAGAGGGTGGAGATAAGGAGAGAGATCACTAGATCATTACCTGTTAGGTTCACTCCCTCTGGGGCACCTGGCATTGGCCACTGTTGGTAGATAGGATACTGGGCTGGATGGACTTTTGGTCTGACCCAGTATGGTCATTCTTATGAGACTGGTGAGAATGGTGTCAACTACATCAAGCTGGACAAGCCCTTCTCACACTTACGATGCGGCACAGTGACTTGTTTTCGTTCACAAGCTTCTCCAGGGTCAGGCATTCGATCAGCTCACATGGGAGGAGGGCATCAACCTTGTCCTGTTTATTGGCCAGCCTGGGAGTAATAAGAAGGGACGAAAGAGAAAAAAGAATAAGACGTCACTGGCCAGCAGAGCTCCTACAGTAACTCAATGTTATCCTTCTTCAGCCTCACTCCTGTGGGGAGGTGGAGCCAGGCTAGTGCTGTGGGGAGCTTGTCCAGGGTGGTTGGCATGATTTGGTAACCCTGCAGTTTGAGGTTTATTCAAAGGCAACATGGCAAATTCCAAAGACAGCCAGCGAGATTCACGTATGAGCTTGCGGGAGCTTGCAAGGGCCTGGTTCAGCCCAGACCACCACTCTGTGACCATCTGTCCCGAGCTCTGGGATGGGATCAAACAAACCCACCAAACTCAGCCACAGAAACTCAGACAAATCTGAGGCAGCAAGAAGCTTCACTTTGAGTTTGGCAGAGTCTGGCAAAAGCCCCCAAAAGTTTCCCTAGAAGTCTGGCAGGGTCAGGTTTTAGTTACACAACCTTCTTATCTCTAGTGTGGAGGGGACCATGTGAAAGTTTGGGACCGCTGAAGCAGAGGGATGGAATCCACAGCCTCTGTCACATGGACAGGAGAACCCCCAACTGGCTCATGGTTCTGAATGAAGAACCGTGATTTGGGGTAGGCTTTGTTCATCCCTAACATTCACTTCACCCCAGGCCTGCTCCTGTTTGAGTTAATGGCAAAAATTACATTCACCTCAGTGGGATCAGGACTGGCCCCTTCACCTGAGCACTGGCCCCAGCCCTGAGCCTGGGCCCTCACCCTTTCCCTATAACCCGCTATCCTGCTCTGCCACAGCCCCCTGCTTCACAGACTAACTGCCTTGTCCCATCCACCCCGGCAGTGCAGACACCATGCCAGTGGAACGCAAGGGACTGGTGGAGACACTGTGAGTTGGGACTGAGGGGCTCAGTGACAAGGGCCTATTAGTTCACATGTTGCCACCACCATTTCCAGAGTGGTTCAGGATGTGCTAAGCTGAGGGAATACAAAGCCACACTAAGCCACGGTTCCAAACTGATGTGAACAGAACCGTGTGGCTGGGCTTTTCTTTCTGCATCATGTCAGCCAGGCCCAGTTAAAACTCAGAGCACAGAGAGTCCTATGGGGAGCGTCCCATCACCTCAATGTTTGGCAGAGTCTCCCAGATAAGCTGCACCTGTCTCATTCCCGAAGATAACCCATCATGCTTCAGTAACTGCTGAGTCATGTTAAAAACTCAGACACCTTAACAAGACCCAATGGCTACCAACAAGACTGAGCAGATGGACTATCTGCTCTGTGTGGGAACCCAAGAATGCTCTCCCCTCTACTCTACTCTCTCTTCACCTAGTTTAGATTGACAGCTCCATGGAGCAAGGACCTTCTCCTTTATGCACCTGCAACGTGCCAGGCACATCTCTGTGCAACATAACAAATGATCACCACTAAGGCACCTGCAGCTCTACCCTGCAGAGGACACAAGAGAAGTGCGGTCTGCAGAACTACCCTACTTTGACTCCATGCTAGTCTCACCAGCACTGTGCTTCTTTCTAATCACCCCACCAGCCCTAATCCAAAGGGACAATCCTCTCTTAATTCAGCTTTCTCATTCGTTCCAATCCTGGGTTCCCCTCACCCATGCTGTTTCAGCACTGGGATCCCCAAATATTGCCTTTGAGGTTCCTGCCCGGATGTGCAGCAACCCCATTTACTGGAATGGCCAAGGAACACTTCAATGCAAGGGAAAGGCAGCCTTACAGTAACAGGGGCTTCCCTGAAATCCTAGGGTGAGCCAGAACACGGCCCAAGGTCCTCCTGGCCTCTTCCATCCGCAGCACATCGCTGGAGTCCAGAACAAAGATAATCCCGTGAGTGTCACCGTAGTGATTACGCCATATGCCCCGCAACCTCTGCCCCCCGGACAGGTCGACAAGGGAGACTTCAAACCGGTCCACTCTGAGTTCAGTTTGGTTAGGCTTTGTTGTGGGGAGCACCTCACACGAGAGCACTGCAGAGAGAACAGCACCCACAGTAACACACACGCAGCCCCCAGACAAACACTGAGCGTTATTATTCCTTGTTCCCAGCTATGGTTTATAGCAGGGATCCCCTGTATTAGCATTAACCCCCTTCAGCTACATTCCTGTTCTCATTTAAGGGGACACATTGGCAATTCTGGGAAACACCAGGATTACATTCCCTATGGACAGCTCCAGGGGGTTATTGCAGGACCTTAGCTAGCAGAGTGGTCCAGTGGTTAGGGTGCTAGCCTGGGACTCAGGAGACCCAGGTCCAATTCCTTACTCTGCCACAGATGGCTAGTGTGACCCAGGTGAGTCATTTAGTCCCTCTCTGCCTCCATTCCCCACCAGTAAAATGGGGATAATAGGATGGCCCTACCTCCCAGGAGTACTGAGAGGGTAACTGCATTACAGATTGGAACGTGCTCAGATAGCACAGTGATGCGGGCCAGATAAATACCGTAGGTAGGTTAATCCTAGGACTGTGTTCACTGTAGGCTGTGGCTGTTTCAGATCCAATTCCTGTCTTAAAGTAGGTGATTAAGTGGGTCTTGGTCAGCATCATGACTTTAGGCCACTGCAGCACAAACTCCTTGCTCTGTGACACCCCTGTTCATAGATCTATCCTAAATCCTGGCAGGTTTGGCGTGGGGGGAGAGGGGAATAGCCCCACCCTGTTTCCTATTGTGCAGTGGCAGGTTAGGTTAATCCTAGCAGTATATTTCTTAAAGCAATCATGACTCTGTTGATTGTTTTAGAGTAGCCAAATGGCTTGCCAGGAATCCCAGGGATTGAGGCCTGTCGATATCCCAGCCATATTTCCCACTGGCGATCTTATCCCCTAGGTTTAACCTGAGTGGCTACCCAGTACTACATTTCTGTTGCACCTGGCTGTCTAAATCCCAGTTCTGCAGAAGGGGCCATTGTATTCCAGACACTCTGCAAATCTAGATGCATCACGCTGTATACCTGCATCCTGTGTAACAGCCTGATGCAGTGAATTCAGATCTCTGATGCTCAGCAGTGGCTTGGTCCTCAAGTCCCACAGAAAGTGAGTGATATAGACTGTCCAAGTCTACATCCCCTACGCTGGACTCGGACAAACAATGTCAGCTACATAAAGTTACCAAATAGACATGAGAAAGTCAAACCCACCTACCAGAGCATAAAGACACAATTATGATCCAATTTTGACCTCACGGGATTATTACAATGCTGCCTCCTGCAGAGGATGGAGGGGAATAATTGGAAGCACGGAAAGATTTATCCCCTCAGCGATGGGGAGATTTGAAGTTATTTGCAAAGAACAATAAACTCTTTGCCTCTGGCATCATGTCAGCTCAGCTGAGACTCAGGGTGTGACTGCAGCACAGGTAGACACAGCAGCAAAGCTGAGGTACTGCAAGTAGCAGCCCGGGCTGTGCAGCCCTGCCCGAGACCCTGGTTATGTACACAAGTTGCTAGTCCACGCTGCTGCTCGTGGCTTCAGTGCTGGGTGTTATTGGAGCTAGCTAGATCAAAGCTAGCTCGGATACGTCAACACATCCGCTCTCGCCTCTGACAGCAGCATAGACATATCCCCAGACTCCAGCAGTAACTGGAGACAGCTGGCTCCTCACCTCTCTGTATCTCCATTATGAGGGAGGTTTTCCCTGTATTGTCCAGGCCAATGACAAGGAGGGTCACTTTCCTGATGAGGAAGAAAAACAAAGTTAGCCTGCACCGAGGAGATATTCTCCCCTCCAAGCAACGGGACTGTGGTCTCTGACTTGAAATGGTCATCACAGCCATCTTGTGAGCAATTATCCTAAGGGCTCATTGGGTCTAGTTCTCCCTGGTATAACTCCACTGAATTCATGGGGTTAGAGCAGGGAGGAAGCCGGCCCTTTGTGGACATAGAGTGGATAACTGAGGACAAGGGCAGGGTAAGAGAGTAACATAGAAAAGATACCCTTAGTCAAGGGGTGGACTGGACCAGCAGCTCAGCCCTGCTTTGGTGCTCCAGCTGGGGTGCTGGGTCAGGGCTGCACCACGTGGGTTGGCCCTTCTCCGGCGCTTTGGCGCGGGTGCAGGGTTGGGGGCTGTATCACGCGGCTCCCAGAAGCCACGGCATGGCCCCGCTCCAGTTCCTATGCACTCCAATGGGAGCTGCAGGGGGATGCCTGAGGATGGAGCAGCGTGTAGAGCCGCCTGGCCGCGCCTCCACATAGAACCCAGAGAAGGGACATGCCACTGCTTCCGGGAGTCGCTTGAGATAAGCGCCGCTCAGAGCCTGCACCCCCTGAGCCTCTCCCCACGCCCCAACCCCCTGCCCTGATCCCCTTCCCGCTCTCCAAGTCCCTCAATCCCAACCTGGAGCACCCTCCTGCGCCCCAAACCTTTCATCCCCAGTCCCACCACAGAGCACACACCTCCAGCTGGAACCTGCACCCCTTCCCACACCCCTGCCCCAGCTCTGATCCCCCTCCCACCCTCCGAACCCCTTGCTCCCAGCCCAGAGCACCCTCCTACACCCCAAACTCCTCATCCCCAGCCCCACCCCAGAGCCTGCACCCTCTCCCGCACCCCAACACCAATTTTGTGAGCATTCATGGCCCGCCATACAATTTCTATTCCCCAATGTGGCCCCTGGGCCAAAAAGTTTGCCCACCCCTGCCCTAGTCCATTCCCTAGGGGCCAGCCCAGGATTGTCCCCTTCAGCAGGGTTCTCTTGGCTTGGGTTCCTTCCCTGGAGCAAGGCCTCTTGCCACTACCTGGACAGAATCCTTTCCCAGAGCCAGGGGTTTGCCTCCTGCAGCTCTCCTCTGGGGACTCATGACAGCCTAAGGCTTCCTGCCACTGCCTGGGAGTTCCCTGTTCCTTGGCACACACCTGCCAGGCCTGCCCGCACTCTGCTGGAAGTTCCTGTCTCTAGCTAATGAGCCAGATAAAGGGTTACCAGAGCTCAGCTGAGGTGGTTTCTAATCAGCTGCCAATCAGCCACCTAGGAATGTAATTACTGCCAAGGGGTCTGGGTTGGCTTGTTCTCACTTACAGACCTGTCACAGGTACCTGGTCCCTGACTCCCCTGAAAGGGCCAATCCCTGTGACAGAGCCCCTCTCTCCTGGACCCTCCCCTTACATCAGTGCAGAGTCTCCATCCATCCTGAGAGAGTTGAAACAATGGTATTTATAGGAATGGGGGTAAGGACCGCCAGGGCTGTGCCCTGACAAAGTTCTGTCCCCACACATACATCACGCACAGCACCCTAGGCACAGGAATGCCTGTCAGATCCACTTCTCCTCTTGTGCTGTAACCCCAAGATGCATCAATGCCACCTTGCCCCGTGATGCTGAGACCTGAGCCAACAGCCGCCTAAGCTGGGGAGCTTTATTCTTCTTTACCCATTGTCCCAACAGACAAGAAATTTCCCAAGATCTATGATGAACAAGCAATGACCTGGAGGGGACTCAAAGGGACTCCCTGTTTTAGTTCTGCCACTAATTCTGAAGGAGGTTTGGGCGATTCTCCTGCCTCTGCTCAAGCTCACCCCTTCACTTGACACTGCTAATCCCCCCGACAGAGATTACTTATCCTTGGGGCTCAAAGATCCTGTTGAGGAGCTCAGTGTTTTCCTTACTGACCCACTAGATAGTGCCAAATGACAGATATTTTCAAAAACAGTCCTACGGGAAGGAGTCCCCAGCCCTCCCCATTCAATTATTGTATTAGGGACAAAGGCCTTCTTCTCCTGACCCTGCATCTTCTGCTGGCATCTGCACCTCTGCAAGGCTGCATAGAAACTGTTCCTGCTGATGTGTGAGAGGGAAACATTCTGATTTGGGAGCATTTTACATCCACTTTGCACAAGTGTAAATAACTAGATAAGGTGTAAGACAAAGGAGAATCCGGCCCAAAGAATTGTCCCTCTGCTGAGCAGTAGCATGTCTGGGGCCTTGTACATAGGCTTCCCCATGGAGGAGAAAGCAGTGATGTTGAGTTTGAGTATATTTTATGTGTAACTGGTTTTATTTACACCTATATGACAGCCCTGGAACAGAAGGGCTCATGAACAGCATGCAGGCAATCCCTTCTTTCAGCAATCTCAGCCCACTACCCAATTCCTAGTTCCCAGGGAGCAACTCTGCCTCAACAATTGCCTAGTTACATGAGGGTAGAGGGCAAAGCCTCCTGCTGCCTCCACAGCTCCCCTAAAGAACCTGCAACAACAAAACTAACTGACATCTCTTCAGAGGCTGAACATTTACTCACATGCTAAGAAAAAAAAAGGTGTAAGACTATGTGTAACCGTGCTACCTGGTGACCCCTGCTGTAGCAGTGTAGACATCTCTAGCAAAGTGCAGCTTCAAACCAGTTTGTTGGTCCAGTGGAGCTTTCTCCTTCCATGGCGAGGAGACGGATTTTGTTTACATGGGAAAAACAATGAATTGTATTCCTGGGGCTGGGGATACAGGGTTCATCGCAGGCTAAAGGGACACTTGTGGGACCCCTGAATTAAAATACTGGTGGCACATCATCGCATGAATTTTTTTTTAAAAGCAAGAATCCCAGAATTTCTAATACTATCACAAAATGCAGAATTCAGCTCTCATTAAAAGTAATGGGATGAAATTGAGCAAAGGCTGAATAGCAGAGAACATATGCCAGCACTGAGGTCTATTTCTTATGGGGTGCTAGTCCCCAGTGTAAATGGTGAAAACCTTATTGCTTGGTCATTTTAGCCTAAAACTAAACAAAACACTGGACAATAGACTAGTCAGAAAAACTTCAACAGAACCATTTTCCATCTAAATCGAAACGCTTCACGAAATCATGTCCTGTTCACCAAAATTTCATTTCAGAGAGGAAACAAAAAATGTTCCAACAAAGACAAAACATCCCTTTCTCTTATTTTCCAAACTAAACACTTTGATTTTACATTTTTAAATTACTTTGTTTAGAATTTTTTTTATTTTATATTATAAAATAAAGTCAAAATTGAAACATTTTGGATTTGGATGAAATGAAACAGGTCAACCAACCCGGAATGAAAATTCTTCAGAATTTTCTTCTATGGAGAATTTTAAAATTTTCAGGTTTGTATCTATTTGAAACAACGCCAGATTTTGAAATCTTTTGTGAAATGGAATTTCTGTCCTCTGCATGCATGCCATAGGGAACATGCCAGTCCAGCTCAGGAGTGAGATAGGACCTTTAAATCTTTTCCCATCTGGTTTTCAATTTAATAACATTTTCTTTATAGATTTTAACATATTTTAACATTAACACTATTTTGATGGTTAAAGCAAAGAGCTTGGAAACACAACAATGCAGCATGCTCCCTCTCTGACAATACGGACAGTCCTATGGGCTGGAGAAATGGGGCTCTCTCCCAGGTACCAGGCATCCAAAAGAGTTTATTAAACAATCACACAAAGGGCCAGCATCAGGACAAAGTTCCTCAGAGTGCATGACACGATACAGATCCCTGTCCCAGACAAAGCAAAGGATCAGACTTCCCACCCGCCCCATCCAGAGAAGTCACTGATTCATTTCTAATGCAAAGCTGTTGGTAGTTAACATGCAAAATGTCATGAGGCAACTGGGTCCTGGGGGATTACCTGATTGGTTCCTGTATTGCCTGCAGCCATGACCAGCAGTGGGAGAGGAGCTGGAACATACTCTGTAGAGAGAGGAGAGCCTCTCGCCTCTGTACCTAGGAATACCAGAGAAAGTGAACAGCGAGCCCCCCTTACTGCTGTGCCAGCCAGCACAGCAACCAAGGGAGGAGTCGTCACTGATACAAGGACGGAACCACCAGAGACTCCAGTTCTACTGTGCTGTGCTTCATCCTCCCAGCTATAGCAATGCTCATCTATCCAGAATGACCACCCATTGGGCTGTAGATAAGGCTTTATTGGGATTTCTCAGGATCCCTAGAACCTTCCGTCTCCTGCACACAAACAGGCCTGGGCTCCCCCTCTCTTCTGGGAAGAGTCATGCTGGCCTGAAATTCCCCTTTTCACGTGTGGGGTAGCAGAGTCGTGTTAGCCTCACTCTCCCTAAAATCTCCTGTTTCCAGCCATGTGTAAAAGGGTCAAAATGCCGCAAGAAATAGTCTGTAAGCTCTTTCAGGAAGGGATCATCTTTGTGTTGTGCGGTTGTACAGCTCCTGGTACTTGAGTGGACTGCCTAGGTGCTACTGCAATGTAAAAGTAATAAATAATTGGCCTGGTTTTGCAGGCCCAAGTGGTTCAGAGCAGCCTCCAAACTTTGGGATGTTTCTCTGAACTGAACCACCAGCAGTTTGTCTATAGCCAGCCACTACACACTGGGTGTCCACTGAGAAGACAGGATAGTCAATATTCTAAGCCAATTCTTCAGTTAATGGAAATCTGTGACTGGGTTTTTCTTAGGGTATGTCTACACTATGAAATTAGGTTGAATTTATAGTAGTCGATTTTTTAGACAGTGATTTTATACAGTTGATTGCGTGTGTCCCCACACTATGCACTAAGCGCCTTCCTCTTCAGCGTGGGGCACACGTCACTTTCTGGAGAATTCTCTGCACCTTGAAGTCTTTAAACCATGATCTGAGGACTTCAATAGCTCAGACATAGGTGAGAGGTTTATTGCAGGAGTAGGTGGGTGAGATTCAGTGGCCTGTATTGTGCAGGACATCAGACTAGAGGATCATAATGGTCCCTTAATATCTATGAATCTATGAATGATATCACTCTCCTGAGGATAACATAGAGAGAGAAAGAATGGATGTTGCTTGAATGCCAGCAAACACCTGGACCACATGCTGCCATGCTTTCTTATGCAAAGATTCCAGACTACATGCTACTGGCCTGCTGTGGTAAAGTGTCCTACCATGGAGGACGCAATAAGGCTGCCCTCCCCAGAAACCTTTTGCAAAGACTTTGGGAGTACCTCCAGGACAGCTTCATTGAGATGTCCCTGGAGGATTTCCGCCCCATCCCCACACACGTTAACAGACTTTTCCAGTAGCTGTACTGGACGCGAATGCATCCCAAGTCTTCAGGGTAAATTAATCATTAAACAGACTTGCTTTTAAACCGTGTATTATATTTACAAAGGTACCCTCACCAAAGCTGCCTTCTCCACCTTCAAGGTCTGGGAGCCCAGGTTGGGAGGGTATTGGCTCCAGGGTGATAAACAGTTCCTGGCTGTCGGGGAGAACGGTTTCTCCGCTAGCCTGGGTGCGCACTATCTTCCTAGTCCCCAAAATCCTCATCCCTGTTGCATGAGACTCCCCCCTTGCAGGAGTCCACGTACAGGGGTGGGGCAACTGTAGGGGCACCCCCTAGAATTGCATGCAGCTCATCATAAAAGCGGCATGTCTGGGGCTCTGACCCTGAGCGGGTGTTTGCCTTTTGGGTTTTTTGGTAGGCTTGCCTGAGCTACTTAAGTTTCATGTGGCACTGCTGCAGGTCCCTGTGATAGCCTCTGTCCTTCATGCCCTTGGAGATTTTTTCAAATATTTTGGCATTTCGTCTTTTGGAACAGAGTTCTGATAGCACAAATTCGTCTCCCCATACAGCGATCAGATCCCATACCTCCCGTTCGGTCCATGCTGGAGCTCTTTTGTGATTCTGGGACTCCATGGTCACCACTGCTGATGAGCTCGCCACACTGGCCAAACAGGAAATGAAATTCAAAAGTTCGCAGGGCTTTTCCTGTCTACCTGGCCAGTGCATCTGCTGTCCAGAGCGGTCACAATGGAGCACTGTGGGATAGCTCCTGGAGGCCAATACCGTTGAATTGTGTCCACGTGAACCCAAATTTGACCTGGAGATGTCGATTTCAGCACTAATCCCCTAGTCGGGGAGGAGTAGAGAAATCGATTTTAAGAGCCCATTAAGTTGATAAAAATGGCTTTGTTATGTGGATGGGTGCAGGGTTAAATCCATCTATCGCTGCTAAATTTGACCTAAACTCGTAGTGTAGACCAGGGCTATGATGCTATCCTCTCCTGCTGTCCTTACCATTCTGCCCTCTAAGCACAGGGCCAGATTCTCAGCTGATGTTAATCAGCATAACCACACCAAAGTCAATCACTGATTTCCACCAGTTTAAGAGCTGACCTGACCGGATGCTGGGAGAAGCAGGGAAGTCTGGAGAATGGGGAGAGGAAAGGGCAAGAGGGAAGGGTAACATCTAAGAAAGTCAAAATTAAACTCCTGCTCTATTGCAGAATTTTAAGTAAGATGTCCTGTGAACACAGAATAACCAGATACTGATGTCCTGTGAGCACAGAATAACCAGATAACCAGAACTAGCTGCAAGTCTCTTTGTACAGTGCCTAGCACAATAGGGTCCTGCCCAATGAGTCGGGTTTCTAGGTGCTTTCACAATACAAATAATACAGACATTTCTTAATAATGATATTAACTATAATTTCTATTATATTAAATAGTTACTATAATAGTAACAGTAACAACAACTCCACTGCAGCTTTGTGTGTCATTATTTTTCTTTCCTAACAAACAGCAGCTTTGTGTGTCATTATTTTTCTTTCCTAACAAAGAGCAGCTGATCAGACATTCCTCATTGAGATGGCAAGCAGCACAAGTGAAGCAAAGCCACGCCCCCCCAACCCCACTCCCTGTGACGCATAGTAATTCCCATCACCGAACGGAGTTCTCAGTGACCTGCTGATAAGAAGCCTCAGCCACCAGATTCTAGCACCCTCAGACACGCCGAGTACACCTCACTCCACCAAGATTACTAGGTATATTCAGGGAGAACGGTACTACTTGGTGTAAGGACATTGAAATCTGCTCCTGGGTCCCTATTAGGATGCAGAGAAAGACAAAGGAACCTTGTTTTGGGGGGGAAAAATAATAGCTGACTTTTCCCCCTTCCCTCAAGCGATGGATCTAGGGATTTTTGAGGACAGACAGGTGTAACCATTCCCCAACAACCCCTCAGTCACAATACTTCTACCTCTAACACAATGCTTCCCTAAACAACTGCCTGTTCTTGTATGGTAGAACCATCCCTGGCTTCTGCCTCAGCCAGACTTCTGAAGTCAAATGCCACCATCTTTCCCTGAACTTTCTTTCAATGCCCAAAGAATGACTACAAACTCCCAGCACAGCCACCCAGGCCTGAAGAGAAAAAACACCCCTCCCAGCAGCACCCTGAGAATCCATGTAATATTCCTGAGCTAAGAATTCCTCAGAATTGAGCCCCAATTCCAGCCAGGAGACAAGACCATCTCATGTTAAAGGAGTGCACGTCAGAGTCTCTCACCAGTTAGCCTCTGCTGTCCGGCTGCTGGTCACACTCTCCTCCTTCCTGCAGCATTCAACTAAATCTAATCTGGATTTAAACTAGTCACTACGTGTAGCCTTCTTAATCTCAGGATGGGTTCAGACCGGGCTGTCTGTGCATTATGGGAAATGTAGTTCTGAAGGCTTTGCATCTCCCATTGCATTTTACAAGGCTGGAGGGAGAGTTGCTTTATCCACAAGGCCATGTGTATGACCACTGAATAAAGCAACAATAAGGTCCATCTCTGTTTTTAAATGGCTTGGAGAAATGGAGCACTCGGATTGGCCACCACAGTTTTCCAACAAAGATAATATCTGCTGTAACAGATCACCCCACACATCACTCATTGGCCTAATCTCCCAATTACTGTTCATACCCTGTAGCACCTGCAAAGAGCAACAGCCATTCACTGCTCATGTGGCATCCTTTCTTGGGGAGAGATGCCTTTGCTGCTCCCCCACTTTTTAAACATAAGTTATAACTGACTCTTGTGAATCCACTAGTATTTGCTTTTATTTAATACCTTTATAAGGCACCTACTGGGCAACATCTGAACACTGTATGATAAAGTCAGACATATTACTCAACTCAGATCTACCAGTTCGAATAGACCACCAGCCAGAAGCAAAGGACCCAGGACAGGGGAAAACCCAGGAGCCCACAGGCAAATGCAAGGAAACAGTTCCCAAGTGATATCAAAAAATTAAGGAAAATGGGTTATATATTAATCAGTGAAGGGAGCCCAAAATACAGCAAAGGCTGTATGGTAGAACCCAGTCTACCCAAAACACATGGCCTTACAGCATGTTCTGAAAGCAGCCAGCGAAAGTGTGTCACCCAGAGAATAGGGTGAGGCTGATCACATGATTAGAACATGCAGGTCAGTAAGTAGAAAACCTTGGAGAGAAACTGTTCAACTCACCGCGGCAAAGAAGAAATGGCTACTTAGATGGAATCAGATGGGGGAATGAGGCTGGATGGTGCAGGTGAGCGATAACTAGGTCATAAGCAGCCTAAACTTGAAATGCCCAAAGTTGTTACCATCTGGCTGCTGTTGTTCAGTGGCCTGTGTAAAATGAACCTGGCAGGTAGGAGTGCAGTTCTTACTGGGTGCGTGTAGGGGTCACACCACCATCATAGGTGGCACGAGTTGGCAACCTCATCTGGTGCCCAACCAGAGGCCAGCTATTGAATGGCCATGGAGCCTGAACTATGTCTGAGACCCTTTGGCTGTGCAGTGCGGGAAGGCTTATGCAGCCGTTACTTTTCCTGCATGTGTTCTGTGGATAAATGGACTATCTCCGGCTGTACCACCACTGATCTGGCACTTTCCACTGGATGCTTTTTGAAATGATTAAAGCAATTTACTACCCAGCTAGGTGCAGCAGGGTCAGCAAGAGAAGCTGATGTTCC